GACCACTTCTCCAGGCACCGTCCCTCACCCGAGTCCTGGGTCCCGGCAGGTCGGCAGTGCGGACAGGAGACTGAGCCGCTGCCTCTTGGGGCCGTCTTGGGGGTCAGAACACGGTACTCCTGGCCTGGGGAAGAAACCAGACAGTCAGCTCTTTGCATGTTTGGAGAACTGGGGAGGATCGGGGAGGCTCGCTCTCCCCTCCCTGACATACAGAAGCATTCAACAAAGCCAAGCCCCGGCCGGCTGGGAAGCAGGCCAGGAGAACAGGATAAGCAAAGACAAGCAGTGTTGCTATCCCCCAGACCCCCACTCACTGGGGGGGCCCTGGAATGGCTTGGGCACGGGGTCAGCTGTATCTCATCCCTGTGTTCCGAGCAGCTGTTAAATGGGGACCGTCACAGTATGGGTCTCATATGCGTGTTGGAAGGGCGGAGCGAGGCCGTGTCCGTGAGGTGCTTTGCCCGGCGCCCGGCAGATGGAAAGTGCTCCAGGTTGTTAGAAAGTTGGACAGATGCTTGGCTCTTTACCCAGACCTGTCATCTGCTGCCTCGTCCCTCCCTGAGTCTCAAGTAAGACCTTCAGGATGTGGCCTGATCGCTTCTCTGTTTCTCCCCCTGCCTTGTAGGCTTCCCACTTCCTGTTCTGTGCGCGTGACCTCGGGGCCCCCAGACCAGCCCCCTGTTCCCGCTTCTAACCCCTCAGCTCTGTCTGCTCCATGGGGCTGGACACACACCTCTCACTTCCTGCCTTGTCTCCTGCACTCAGCCCTATGGATCTGAGGTGAAGCGCCCTCCCTCCCAGGCTGGTATGGGTGAGAGCCACGTCTGTAATTTACACACCTCCTGTAACTGCTTATTTGTTACTGTCTGCTCTGCAGTCAGATTCATGAAAGTTGGAGCCATGTCCATATTTGTTTTCCTGTCAAGCACTCTGAAATCCTACTATGTGTCATCTGAAGTCTTACTATGTGCTGGGTGCCTAGTTCATGAGACACAGGGGCTGATGCCCTGGGGAATCAGACCTGAAGGTAGGCCAGGGGGAAGTGATGGGGTGTCCACCCCACTCACAGCAGGTGCTTCATAACCCTCTTTGTGACGGACCAGCTGGTGCGGCTCCCCCAGAAGCAAGCGTGGGCCCCGGTGCCGGGAGGCACCAGAGACTGTTCGCTGGATGAATGAATGCATTCACAGAGGCAGCACTCCTCGCTGCTCCCTGTGTCACAGAATTCACAGAAAATGCTAATATTTCAATTGCCTTTGGGGAAATGGGGAAGGCTTCCAGGACAGGAGTCCTCCCTGGGGGCCGGGCCACACCCCACAGCCCACCTGTGTACTGGCCCCAGAAGGTGACCCTGTCTGGCCGCCTGGGGCCGCCGACTCCTCTCGTTCCTTCCCGAGCTGACTGTGCACTGTCCTCGGTGGTCCGGCTCTTCTCAGAGAACCACTGGGGGGAGGGTGGCTCAGATTCAGAACCTGGGCGGGGAAAAGAGGGGCATCAAAGGGGGACAGGGGAGGTGTCGCAGGGCTCAGGGAGTTAGCCGATCCTAAGTTCAGGCTCTGGGGCAGAGCTCGGGTTTTAATCCTACGTCTGTCCCTTAGTAGTGTCAGCCAACACATGTGGACCCCTGACCTTGCGCTAAGCGCTTGGCTGGACCGGTCGTGGATGCCATGCATGTACCCTCAAGGCAATCCCAGGACAATCCCGGGAACACTATTATTTACCACTGCACAGTCAGCTGTCCCTTTAACTGCACAGAGCAGGTAAACCACTTGGTCAAGGTCACCCAGCCAGGAAGGAGTGAGGTGGGCTGAACCCCACCCCTTCGCCTTCAGTCAATTTCCCTGCACTTCCGGGCTCTGGTGTCCTCATCTGCAGAACGTGGGTGATATGCCCCACTTTGCAGTGAAGATGGAGAGGAGGCCCATACAAGGCCCTTCTAGAAACCCTCGCACGCATGACACACAGTGGCTATCACTGGAAGTGCACGGTACTTCCGAGAATATGATGGCCTAAAGACACACAGAACCTTCTCCAGGTTCTAGGGCTATAGCTACGGTCCCTGAGCAATGGGCTAACAGGCCCAGACTGTAGCCTCGAGGAACCAGTCCAGGCCGTTGTCACTTACTCAGGGACAGTTGGGGCACCGCCCGAGGCACTGAGGAAGACCTGGCACGCCGCCTTTCTGCGGGCTCCACTCGCTCCCCACCTCCAGGCTCACCAGACAATCTCTCTGTGGATTTACTAGCAAAAAGGAGACAGAGAGGGATGATGTCAGTGGATGAGGTTTTATGCAGACTTTCAAGATGATCAGCAAGCAAGCCAACCCGGAGGAAAGCATGAAAGTCAAAATCAAAGACTCTGAGTCAGACTCACAGAAAGTGGCTCTGAGCCTCTGTGAGCCTCAGTTTCCTCATCTGTCAAGTGGGGATAATAACAGCAGCTACCTCAGAGGGTTACGGGAAGGATTAATGAGACAATGTCCATAAAAACCTGAACTTGGACGCTCCCACAGAAACGCTTAGGAAAAAACACTCCGCTGATTTTAGAAGTCATCACAAATGACGAGCTAAGGAGTGAGCAGGTGGACATTGTGGGAATGTTTAGCTCTTCACTTGGGTGCTGAGTTCAGGTTACGATTAGATATTTTATGCATCAAATCTTACATAGGAAGAAGCTGTCAGCAGGAGAGGGATGTGAGTTCCCATGTGTGGAGAGCCCCAGAGGCAGCCCAGTCTCCCTTCTGCCACTGGCACCAGGGCACAAGGGCGAGCGTTTTGGGGTTGCCCACCTGCCATAGTGGGAGCCCCAGGAAGTGGAGGCATCCGCTGGCCGTGCCCGGGTCCGGGGGGGGCGGTTGAGGGTGGTCGCCGGGCGCGTCGGGCTGCCCTGGGCTGGCTGGTGCAGGCTGTCTTCCAGCTGCAGACGGAGCCGAGACACTTCCTCTTGCAGCTCTCGGATGGCCTGGCTGGGGTGGGGGGTGGGACAGAAACAAAGACAGGATATACAATGCACTGGGTGGCAGCCACCCTCAGAGGGCCACCCTGATGCCCGGGGCTTGTCCCTTTCCAGTGGGCCCCGAGTCCAGCTCTGCCGTCAACTGATTCTGGAACTTCCTTGTGCCTCCATTTTTCTTGCTACCTATCTCGACTCCTCTCTGAGTTCACGTCCCTGTGCATTCAGTGGGCAAAGCAGTACGTCCTTCGAGGTTCACCCAAACCCCCCACCCCATACAGGGCCTCTGAAAAACCAGTGGCACATTGTCAAGATCGAGGGGAGGATGCAGAATCAAGAAGGTATTGCTGAAGGTCCACTTTAAAATCTGCATTTTGACCTGCCTGGGCTGCCCTCCATTCTTTTTTTTGTTTGTTTTTAAATATTTATTTATTTATTTATTTGACAGAGCGAGAGAGAGAGAGAGCACAAGCAGGGACAGTGGCAGGTCAAGGGAGAAGCAAGGAACCCACTGCGGGGCTTGATCCCAGGACCCTAGGATCAGGACCCTAGCCAAAGGCAGATGCTTAACCGACTGAGCCACCCAGGCTCCCCCTGTCCTCCCTTCTTTTACCTCTGTCTATAGAAATGCTAACTAACAGTCTAGGCCTGGTTCCTTCTCACCCTTACTCAGCCCGTCCCTCCTGGGGTCCCCTGAACATTTCCCACATTGTCTAAGCCTCTCTGTCCGCCGGTGACGGAAGACGCTTGGATGTGAGCAGGCTGCAAGTGCAGGGCGCTCTCTGCAAGGCTGCTGTCATGCCCGGGGGACCCCCAAACTTGGCCCAGCCTCCTATTGGCAAGCATCTCAATGAGCTGCTAGATTCCATGGGGTAAGTACTGTTTGCATCTCTCTCCACCCAGCACCTGAATCTCAGAGTCTCATCTGAGAGCCCGGCATTCAGATGCTGGCGTCACGGCAGACAATTGTCCCCCAACACCCTGCACAAAAGCCCCCTACACACAGAGTGTCAGCGTCTGGGCTCGGCATGGCCTGGGCTGCCGAGCCGAGATGCTCCATCTCCTCCTTGGGCCAGCTTCTGCGGCGGGGCTCCCCTCAGCGTTCCTTCTTGCTTGGTGGCCCTGGACTGGAGGGTGAGTGTCTCCTGGCACCACCTGCAGCTCTCAGCCTGTGTCTGGGGAGCCGAGAGCTCTCTAGCTAGGCCCTGGGCAGTGTATGTCCAGGGCAGCCGGGTCTCCTAGCAATCCCCAGGGAGACATTTGTTGGGGTTTCCAAGGCAAACAGCAGGGCATCTGCAGGAGAGCGAGAGCTCACGTCACCAGTTCACGCCTGCATGCAGGACTGGAGGGCACCTCTGGGAGCAGAAGGTCCTGGAGTGAGGGCCCGGGACTCCGAACACTCGCCGGGGTGTCACTGGTCCCCTCTGGGTGTTTCTGTCAGGATCTCAGTCTTGCTGACTTAATTCTTTCGTGACCAAGAGCCAAGTGGCATTTCAAGTTCATCTTTGTAAAGATGTAAACTGTTTCCCCTGCTGAGTTCCCCATCTCTGTATCAGCATCCAACTGGTTGGCCAGCCAGAAGTCTGACTCATTCGAGACCCTTCTCCCTCCCTGAACGCCCCCAGAAGTTAACCATCTCCCAATTCCTAGGGGCCCAATGCCTAAATGTCTCTTCAAACGCACCCCATTCCCGCCGACTGGCCCCACGGTGTCTGTCCTGGGCGGGGGGGGCCAGGCTCTGCTCTCTGTAACCATTAACTAATTCAATTCTCCCAACAACCCGGGGGGGGGGGGGGGGGGGGGGGGGGGGGAGGTGTGGCTTTCTTGGCAGTCTGCCCGCCTTGCCTTTCTCACCCAGCTAGTGTCCAGAGAACTTCTAAAACGTGAACCTGACCTCGCCACTCCCATTTAGAATCCCCCTCATAGGCCTCAGCTGCATCTGTATACATTTGTGAATATTCAGTGAACTCATTTCTCTGAGCTGAGCTACCATCCAAATCTCTCACCATGGTGTTCACAGCCCTCCGAGGTCCCCCCAGGTCTCCCGGGCTCCTTCTCCACTGCTCAGCGCTTACCACTGCACCCACGCTCGGGGACCCAGCTAAAATGAACGTTTGGCTCTGCAAAGGTGATGGGCACTCTCTCACCCATAGGCCTTTGCACATGCCGTTTTCCCTGCTAGGAGCTCTTCTGTCTCTCTTCCTTCTGGTCTCAGCTGAGATACCCCTTCCTCCGGGAAGCCCTCCCTGAAGCCTCTGACTGGGCCTGATGTCCCTTGTCTGTTTTCCCACAGTCTTTGGAGGCTCTGCGGCCACTGCATTCAGACTGCGGAGCGTGACCGTGTGTTTCTGTGCGCATCCTACAAGATGGTGAGCCTTTCTAGGCCAACGACTGTCTTGTCCACTACCGTATTCTCAGGAGCTAGCGTATCGCTGACCCCTAAGCTCGAATCCCTCTGCTGGTGTCACAGGAGACTGCAGCAGTACCCTCATTAAACTCTGGCCCAGAAGGGAAATGCCAGCCCTTCACCCACCCTTGCAAAGAGGGAACATGACAGCCCATGACGGCACAGGCCCGGAGGCCTCGGATGGGGTCCCGCAGAGCAGCCTTCCCCATACACCTGGGACAGATACCCCCAATCCAACAAAGGCATGGGATTGATTATTGGCCAAAAGCAACTCAAAGGAGAGGTAAGAGGGCTGGCCACCCTATTTTCCCACTTCTGTTCAACCAAGCAAGGAGCAACGTTCTTAGTAGAACAGTTGCGCTTGTTAAAAAGAAGAGAATCGAAGACCAGTCCCTTCTCAGTTCATACAATGACAGCACCAACTGCTGAAAATCCATTCCTGGGAAGTGTACACCAGCCTTGGAAGAGAAATATATGGGGGGGGGGGGCAGGGAGCCAGGCTCAGCACCAGAAAGGTGAACCCCTAGGTCATTTCCCACTGGCCGGGGAAGTGTCCTCAAAGTCCACATCAGTGAGGTCCCACGGAATGGCCCCGAGTTGGGAGGCAAGACACCTGGGTCCGAGGGCCCCCGCATGGCCACCACCGGCCGTGACTGCTGAGCAAGCCCCAGCCTCTCCCGGGCATCACTCGCCCATCTCTGCTGGTCCGACTTACTCTCGCCCTGTCCTGGTGAGGAGGAAGGTACCAGTGCTCTCTGCTGCTCCATGGGGCAGAGTGGCAGCTGCGGGGGTCAGGGTGGGCGGGGGGCTGATTGTCGCTCTGGGGGGGAGCTGTTCGGAAAGCCGCTTTCGCCCCTCGAACTCTGGGCCAGGGACCGCTAAGGAGGCAGAAAGACACCAAGGTGAGTTTGCCCAGAGAGGACCCTCGAAGCACGAATTTCTGCGGGTAGAAGGATATGAGCAAAGTGGGAGTGCTGGCTGAGGTCATAACTGAATTTTCCAATGAGGTCACTGGCCCACTGACCTCAGAACCCGAAGATGTGGTTTTTCCTGGGAGCTTGGAGTGCAAAGCTGGGTCTGCAGAGCTGTTTCTACCTATGTTTCCTGCGCTATCCACCATTTCAGTACCAGATGTGGGTCTTCAGGAATATTCCTCTGTAAAGAGCTCATTGCTCCTTCACGTGGACCCCCGCAAGCTCTGCCGTGCATCACCGTGTTGTTCTGGGTCTGACTCCAGAGCCCCCATGCCCCCCTAAAATTACAGCCACACCTTTGCCTGTGGCATGCTTCTGGGGAAAATGTTCAAAACTTTAGGCTCTCAAAGGCATGAGCGACCAGAGGTTAATACCACTCACCTGGCCCCTGCGTTAAAAACAAGGAGCCCTTGGAACACTAATCAATAATACAGAAAGGAACAGACTATTGATACAGGGAACCATCTAGATGAATCTCCAGAGAAAGGCTAAGTGAAAAAGCCAAACCCAAAAGCGTGTCGATCATTCCACTTGTAGAACATTCTTAGAATGACAAAATTATAGATATAGAGGACAGAGGGGAGGTCACCAGGAGTTAAGGAGGGCGTGGACGTGATATGTCCATAAAGGGGCAACATGAGGGGTCCTGGTCAAAATCTGCACCATGGTTTTGCAAGATGTTACCACTGGGGGAAACCAGGTGAAGGGCACATGGGATCTCCTTGGATTATTTCTTACAACTACATGGGAATCCATAATTGGTCAACTTTTATTTAAAGTTTAATTTTAAAAGTTTTCAATATGAGCCTTGTAAAGAGCCTTTGGAGGGGTGAGGGGTGACTGGGAGGAGCTGGGGTTCTGATCATGCTGTTTGTTTGGTCTGTGTTCATTTTGTGAAAATTCAATTTATGCTCTTTCCTGTATGTTTGTTTTATTTCACTAAAAAGCGAATGTGCATCTTTTTAAAGGTTTAAAACTGAAATCACAGAATTTAAAGACATGGAATGTTCATGACACAGTGTTTAGTGAACAAAGGAGGTTATTAAACACTCACAGATATTCTGATCCCATTTCCATTTTAAGTGTATCTAAATAAACACACATTGGCAGAGAGGACAGCCCACGGGTTCAACACCCAAATGTGGCAGCGATGGTTTCAGCATATTTTTTTCTCTTTTCCCTAGAGTTTCAAATATTCCCGCCATGAACCTGTAGGATATTTTGTATCTTAAAGGGTAATGCAAGTTTTTTTGTTGGTTTGATTTTTCAGTCCACGCCGTCCGGCCACTCCCAGGTTCTGGCCAACCCAGATGCATCCACTCACCCATCTCGGCCACCAGCGCCCGCTCCTCGCGGAGGCTCAGTGCCCTCTGCTGCAAGGGACTGGCCCTGCCCGAGGGTCGCCTCTGGGCTCGGCTCCTGGGTGTGCTGGGCTCCGAGGCTCTTCTGGGGACTGGAGGACCCCTGGTCTGGGGGTGGGAGGTTGCATCCTGGGCCTCAGATGAAGTGAATGGCTGAGCCAATGTTCCTGTAGTGCTGGGGGAGCGTGGAGGGAGAGACGTGTTGAGATCGTACAGACAGACCCTGGCCTCCGAACCCTTCCACAGGCTAAGCCAATGAGCTCCTGACCTTTGGGACTTGGCACCCCTGCATGCACAGTGTTTCTGAGGATGCACCCCCATTATACATGCATTTCTGTATAAACTGCCGAGCTGTACACCTGCCTACCCACAGATGCAAGATTATAAAGCTCAAGTTCATTTTTAAGAAAATATACAGAGAAACAGAATTTCCAATCCTTTCTTCCCATGCAGCCCTGAGTTGTCAGGCAGGCCTCCTGGAGCGGGGGGGGGGGGGGGGGGGGGCGGCTGCACCAGCTTTGGAGGCTGTCACTCTACATGGTGGCTCATCAGTCCACCCTTCACCCAAATCCCCTCCTCAGACCTTGCCTTGGGGTTCTGTCCCTGTCTCTTCCCAGGTAGTCCCCCTGATTGCCCTTTATCCTTGTCTTCTGCTCACCTTGCACCACCCTCCTGTACATCTCGTTCCCCATTCACTCATTCATTTGCTCAACAGATACTTATTCCCCAGGCTGTCGATGACTGGCTGAGTGATGCTGGGCTGGTCACTTTCCCTCTCTGAACCTTGGTGCCCTTCTATTGATAAGATGGAGGCAAGGAACCCTGGTTGGGGGATGAGATGAGGGCTCTGAGAATGCCCAGACCATCGACCCCTGCTCTGGGCTCATGGCACTCTGATTCCCAGGCTACCCCTCCATGGGAGCGACCCTGATGGGGCAGGGGGTCCTGGAGTACCTGATGTGGGAGAGCCGGTGCTCTGGGGTTTGGGTGAGGGGCGACACTCTGCTGGTTTCTGAGCCCACAAAGCCACTGTCTGTCTCCGGGGACGCCATCCAGGGCTCCTGAAAGAGGCGGTGTCCCTTTAAGGCTGAGGAATGTGTCTGAGGCAGGCTGGGAAGCCCTTCTCCAGGCCTGGCCTGGGCCTCACATTCCAGAGGCTCCCAGGCTGGGAGGCTGGCCCGGCTCCCAGCAGCCAGGCCCGGGTATGAGGGTCCTCAGGCGAGGGTCCTCAGGCGCTCGGAACCAGCACCAGGCCAACAGCTGGGACTCCACGCCCGGAGCCTGAGCAAGTCCTGCTTCCCTGAGACCCTCGGGAGAGATCCTGTGGCAGATGTCCTGAGCTGAGGAAGAGGGGAAGGAGAGGAAGGAGAAAGCCGCCTCCTCGTCTCCTCGTGGGGATGGGATTCATACTTCCACACGTCTTCCCGCTTGGGCCTGGAATGCCATGGTCCTGTCAGACGCAGAAATGCCCCGGGCCAATGAATCGGGAGAATCAAATTCATCCAACGTGCACCCCTCCTCCTAGTGAAAGGCACGAAGAAGACAAACAGGCAACACAGTGCCTGCCCTCAACACGTTCACGGTCTGGTGCAGATTTCTTACGACAGGGTCATTAGGACTACAGAGGGGGGCGTGTGTGTGTGTGTGTGTGTGTGTGTGTCTACGTGCATGTATATGCATTGTTCTATGGGAGGATCCATAGCATAAGTGACATTTCCAAGGTGACCTGTGACTCCTGCGACAGTTTAAAAATTGCCGCCCTAGTCACCAACAGGCCATGCAGTCAAGGACTGCCCCTCCAGTCTGTGCTCAGCAGGCTCAGAGAAATACAGACATGGGCCACAAGCTCTCAGAGGACAAGCAAGAACCCCTGGCGGGGGACAGGGGTAGGGGGACCCACAGCAAAGAGGTAGCACTGGGCATAAGCCCTGAATGTTTGGCAGAACTGTAACTGGCAGGGACTGGGAACAGCAGGAATTCTGGAAGGGTATGAGCAAAGGCCCAGGGGCAGATATCTCCAGGAGCCCCACACCCCATGTGGATGCTTACCTCTAGGTGGGACCCCCCAGCTTGGTGCAGAGACTTCTGGGGAAGGTGCTCAGAGATGCCACTTCCCTCTAAGCTGGTCAGACTGCTCTGGTGCGATCCCGCAGTCCTGGTGCCTCGAGGGTGGGGTGGCCTGCTCGGGCCTGGAGGGGCTGCCTTGGCTTTGTGCAGGCCCTGGAGGTACCCATCTCTGGCCGCGGATGCATGGACGCCTGCTGGCTTTACAGACCCCATCTGCTCCACAGTCTCCCTGGCGGGGAGGAGGAGAGACACACCGACTCTGAGCCCTGGCAGGGGCTGCCCAGCCCTGTCCTGGGAGCCAGACGCCCCTGGCGGCCCACCCTGGTGTTGTCATCTTCTAGCTGTGTGACCTTGGGCAAGGCACCGTCCCTCTCTGAACCTTACTTTTCTCATATGTCAAATGTGGATGGCCAACAAAACCCGCCCAACACAACACAGCGACAACAGTGTGGAAACAAATGAGCTACAGTATCATTTCTCAGGCTTCGGGAACTTGGGTCCTCTCCCTCCTACCTCAGCCCCTTCCAGAAACTTTAATCTCCTCAAAGCCTTATGTCATCATTAGAAATAGAAGATCAGTATTTTGTCTGACAAATAGACACTAACTTTAGACATAAACAGAAGACACATGAAAACAGTATTATTCTGTTCTCGACAGATCCTGTCATCTGGGCTCTGGGCCCAAGCTTGCTCACGTGTTCTGTCTCTTTCTTTCTCTCTTTGTTCTTAAAGGAAGATCAAGAGAGGCACTGAGGATGTAATGGCACCGAAACCTTCTCCTTGATGTACTTGGAAGGTCTGAGACTCAAAAGGAGAACAATAGTACCTAGCACTGCCTATGGCCTACCAAAGACCATGTCCACCCCACCCAAATCACTGCAAGTGCTCTCGGTGCTGTATTTGTCCCACGGCTTGGAGGGACGTGAGCAACAGGTCACGAAAGCCATTGCTAAGTGGCAAAGAGCCATCTCGGTCACTAGGACCATTACCACCCCTGTGGTTTCAGAGTTGGTTTGGGGACAAATCGGGGGGCCTCATGGACATACTTGAGGGGGGCCCTGTGACTTCTTTTGGCCAGTGCTGGGAGCTGCCTTATGGGGATCCTGGTGGCCTCGGAGTTTCCTGGAGCTGGAGCTGGCCCGTCCACTTCCACTACATGGCCTTGCCCGTCTTCCTCCTCCTCTTCCATCTTCACGGCTTCCGGGAGGGACTTCACGCTGAGGTACCTGCAGAACGCAGAGGAGCATGACTTCTGCCCAGGAAGGCCAGCCAAGGTCCTGTCACTGGGCCGGACCCCCTGGCCTTCCTCCTGGTACTCACCGCTCCAGGAGGCCATGGAGATCCTGCTCCACCTGCAGGTCCTTGTGCCTGAGTGGGGCTGGGAGGCCCAGGGGCCTGTCCTCCCCCTCATTGCTGGCAGCGCTAAGCTCCACGTTCACGAGCGATGCACAGGGGCCCATGCTGCTGGTGGCATCAGGCTGGGGCCAGAAAAGCAGAAGGACAGAGATTCAGCAGACAACCAAACACCACTTTTTAGGGACCTACCTTATACCAGGCTCATGCTGGGTGCTGAAGAGTCATAGGTGAGACTCACGGACCCTACCACGAGTTCATGCGTGGGCAGAGTGTAGGGAGTGGAAGGTGCGATCTTTAGCACGGACTGCCGTTAACTGAACGTCTACTCCCCGCCAGGCACGGTTCAGACAGCACCTCCCGATAAGCCCAGCAGGGATGGCTATTACAGCCCATTTTACAGACAGGAAACTGAAGCTCAAATGATTTGCCCAAACTTACAACAGAAGCGAGGGCCAGAGCTGAGATTTGGACCCAGATTTCCTTCCAGAAGCATCTCTCCTCACTTGCTCCATTAAATATGGACACCCAGCCCCCAAAACACCTTCCCTGAGGAAGCATGGGAGCCGCTCAAGATGAGGCACTTGGGTTTTCACCCATTGGTGCATGAGGCAGCACCCAGGGGAGGTTTCCCCAGTGCGAGAGCCTCCCCCACATCCCTAGGCCTCCAAGGGCTCCGCCGTCAGGGCTATCTCACCAGCGCCCAGCCCTCCGGCAGCCCCTACCTCACCTGCCATGCTGGCCCTTTCTCCTCCTCTGTCCCCAACACAGCACGGGCAGCAAGGTCTAGAGACTCCCCTGCTGTCCCTGGTGTGACCGCTGTACCCTCACTCTGCTCAACTATATGCCACGTAAACAGTGATCGTCTCCCAGGGGCTTGTGATGTGGGCCGGAGAGAGACTTCTACAAAGTCCCTTCTGCGTCGGGCCCTTGTCTAGTGTCTCCTGATCTGTGACTAGTCCCCTGGACTGAATAGTCCCCTGGGATGCTGGAGGCCATCCCTTCCCCCTTTCTTCTCACCCCCAGGGCACATCCAGGCAAACGGGCCTTCTACACCTCTCTCAGGTCCACCCACAACTCTCCATCTGCCCTGCCCCCACCCCACCTACCTGCAGACCTTCTTTGAACACGCCCTGCTGAAAAACGCTGCAGAGTTTAAGGCCAAACCCTTGCCAGGACTCATAAGCCCCAACATCATGGGGCCCCTGCCTCCTCTCCAGCCAGCACTCAGACAACTGCCCCCTCACGTTCCATACTCTAACCACAGGGCCTTTGCACAGACTGTTTCCCCTGCTGCATGGCTTCTCTTCTTTTGCATGAAGCAAGTCCCACTCACCCTCAGATCCCATTAAAACATTTCTTCCTCAAGGAAAATTTCTCCTGCCCTTTAACCTCAGTCACGTTACCCTGTTACCTACTCTCCTAGCGTCCCATAATTCTCCTTCGGAGCCCTGAGCAAAATAGAATTAGTCCAGCTAGACAGAAAATGCCATGAGGGTAGAGGCCACCCGTTTCTGTCTGCTTCCCACTGAATTTCCACCATGGGCCAGCGCTACTGGCACTTGGCACCTACTTCCCAAGTATGTAGGGAAGAAGCCAACTAATGGAGAAGAGAAGGAAGGGATGGTCCCGTGTGGCTGGGCAGAGAGGTACCTGAGGGCAGAGGGTCTGGATGGCGGGGGTGGAGGCTTGTCCTGAAGGAGAAGGCAGGCACGCCGGCTGGTGCGGGGAGGGCGAGGCTGGGAGGCTGGCCGGAGTGCAGTCTGACCCGACTTGCTTAGGCTCCTGCTGGTTCTGGTCCATGTGGTCCTTCAGCTCTTCCAGGCGAATTCCCAGCTGGAATATCTTCTCCTCTAGCTCCCTGCAACGGGGAGACACCAGCACCCAGAGCCTGTCATAGCAGCCGCATCGGGCAGGGCTGGGAGGCCGAGCTTCCGAGCACAAACCCCAGAGAATGCCCACAGAGGGTGCATTCAACGTCCTAATTTGGATTACGTGGAGAACTCGACAAAACAAGGTGAAAAGGGACTCCACTGGGAACCAGGAGGCCTCTGCCACCAGCAGGCTGTGGGACCTTGAGTCAATCCCCCCTCTGGCCTTGGTTCCCCACTCTGATGAGTGCTTTCGGGTCTCATCTCCAAGGTCACTTCTCATTGCAGTGAGTCCAAAAGGACACCGATCTCAGCCTTCAGGCGTTCCCCCACCTGGATATGTTGCCAATCAGGGTAGGATTTCTCCCTGTTCCTGTAGTGGATGAAGTATGAGGACGAAGTGTGCCCCTCCTGGTGACCAAGGGAACCAGGGGCCTCCCTCCCCAGCACATACCTGCCAGGATCGAATTTTCCAGGTGTCCCCTGGGAGCCGGCAAGCTGCTGGGCCGGTTGCTGCTCCCTGCAGGCCTTCAGGTACTCCTCCTCCAGGGCTGTATGGACAGCCTTTAGGCGCTGGAAGACCTGCAACCAGACGAGGCCAAGTGGACTGAGCACCCAGCCCCCCGGGGCTCTGTCCCTGCAGATACAGTGGCTGAGACACATGGCGGTTGGGTGTGTGTGGGGGGCAGGAGACCCATCCTCTGGGCCCCCAAGTCGCTGGAAGGCTGGAGTTTGGACTCTAAAACCTACCGCCCCAGTCTAGCCTCTGCCATCAGAGTAGCAGGGCAGAGGCACAGCTTAGAGCCTTGGCACCAGCTCCAGAGAGCACCAGTCTCTCCTGGGTAGAGCTGCAAGTTCTCTGATGTTCCATGGTGTCAAATACACCATCACTCTGTCCCCATAAGGACCTAGTACTTGAGAGACCACGGATCCTCATGCTTCTTTTCCAAACTGTGGATCTGGACACATGAGTCCCTCTGTTCCCAAATCCTTATAGACTAGCATGACCGATGATCTTATCACCACCATACTATGGATAATAGTAGCTAACATCTACTGAGCACTGAGGCTCTATGCTAAAGTGCTTTGTGTTATTCATTATTCAGTTAATTAATTCAATTAATTTAATATTTAAATAATGAATTTAATTAATTCAATAAATTTAATATTCACCAACATAATCCTAATGAGAGAGGTAGTTTATCATCTTCATTTAAAGAGGAGGAACTGAGGTTCAGAGAGGTTATTTAAGTTGGTGAAGGTCACACAGTGAGCGAGCAAGCAAACTGTAGTCGGAATTTGAACCCAGGTCCTCTAGCTCCAGAGCTCATGGGCCTAGCAATGATGCTAGGCCTCCGTAGCAAATGTGGTGAGAGCTAACAGACAGCTAAGACTGTGGGAGGTTGGATCATCATCCCTGACTTATTATCATCCCCATCCTACTCCTTCTATACAGAGGGCAGACTGAATTCAAGGGCAACCTGGAGTCTAGTTCCCGGGCAAGCTTGATCTTCCAACAGCTCTCGACCTCCCCAGATATGGGGGAATGAAGATAGAGGGGAAGAAAAGGAATGGTTTTTGATGTTCAAGGTCCTTGCTCACCCTCTCAATGAGAGACTATAACACAAAGCACACATTTTGCAATTGGAAAAACGGATGATGTCTACATGCTAACACAGTCATTAGGAACATAGTAATGACACAGTGAAATACAGTATTGTTTTTACAAACCAAGTGTGCTGCGTTTGCCCCTCTCCACCCCTCCTGGGCTCTTCTCCCCACCTCCTCTGTGCCTCCGTTGACACCTAGCTCCCCACCTGCTGGGAACAGTCAGTCCTGGGCTTCCTGGATGCTGCCCACAGCCCTGCTAACCACCCCTGCCTCAACCCCCTCACTCCCAGCTTCCAGAGCCCCACCTGCTCCTTCCCAGGATCGTGGCTGATGCAGCAGAAATCTAGATTTTATACATGACTATAGTTTATCTAGAAATACCAAAGTCCAAAAGGAAATAAGCCAGTAATGGTTAGATTAAGGCTCTCCTCCCCTTTTCCCCTTGGTTTTCAAATATTGGGCAATTACTTTTATAATAAAGAAAAGTAAAGAAAAGAGAAAGTCTTTTTCTGGTGGCTGAGAAGCAGCATAGTCAGTGGGAAGCAGTGCCGGCCAGTGATGACCACGCTGGACTTGGGGTCTGGGCTGCCCCATTCCATTCCAGTTAAAGGGGGTGATGACTGTAACTGCCTTACTGGTTTTCTACGAGAAAATGAAACCATGGGCATCCGAGGCTCGCCACGGTGCCTGGCCCACCGTCATCGCCGCCTAAGGAGCGGTAATCCCGCGCTATCATGATCGTGGTCCTGGCAAGCTAAGCAGTGTGTGTCTGCGATTCTCTGGCCTGTCCTGTGGCAGGCAAGGCTTCGGGGACGCGTCTGTGGGAGACAGCTCCAAGGGCATCTCCCACAGTGGCCGGTACCTTGAGTTGGTCCTGGGCTGTCAGCCGTCCCGCCTGCATCAGTCCTGCAAAGGCCTCTACCTGGGCATTGGGACAAAAGGAAACACGGTCCATTAGTCCAGACCCTGGAAGATGGGCCCTGCAGGGTGTCGCATTCATGCTTTGGCACCAGGAACTGGGCCCCGCCTCAGGACGTGGGTTTTCTGCCAAGCACGGAAAGGCGGATGCCAGACATTGACTCCACCATGGGCCTCGGCCCTGGCAGCGTTTGAAAAAAATCAAAGTGGAGCCTCCCAGAATTTATCGATCGCAAAGCACACTCACTCATGTGCATGAAGGCCTATGAGCCAGGAATGTTCACTGCAGCATAACTGGGGGGCAATGGGAAACGATATAAAAGCCTACCCGTGGAATAGTATGCAGCCATCAAGAAGAGGAAGGGCTATGTGTACCTGCTCCCGTATAAAGTAAGACCTACTTTTCAGTGTCAAATCAAGGGACAGGCCAGTCTTTATAATACGCTACCATCTGTATAAAATATCCAGAGAATAAAAAAGGAAAAATATAAATACACATTTGCCTGTATATTATAAACGACCTCTAGAAGGATGCAAGAAACTAAAACATTGATTGTTTCTGGGGCAGAGAACTGGGTGGCAGGGGCAGGGTGGGGGACAGGGATGGGGGGAGGCGTTTCTACTATACGCATCTTTTGAACTTTGAACAAAGTGAATTCATTGCCTACCCAGAAATATTCAACTTCGGGATATTAAAAAAGTCAGGGTACAGCGTAGCATACAAATGTGACCATTTCTATAAACACATGTGTGTGTGTGTGGAACTTTTTTGCACAAAACAGAAGGGCAAGTACGGGAAAACAGGGTTTTTACTGAATATGCCCTTTGTACTATGTGAGGGTCTTTACCATGTACGTCTATTACCTTTACAAAAAAATTGTTAACTAGGCAAAAAAGGGCAAAGGTGATTTGGGAATTTCTGGGATTTCTAGGAAAGCTCTAGGTTAGTGCCAAAATATAATATAGAAATTTATATAATACAATGATATTACATAACATATATATAAAATAGAAGTGTAATGCAAGCTACCTATACAATTTAAAATTTTCTATAAAATAAAATTTTCTAATAGCCATATTTAAAATGTAAAGAAGTAACCAGTGAATTAATTTTAATAGTACATTTTATGACCCTAAACTATTATTTTGACATGTAATCAATGAAAAAATTACCAATGAGATATTTTATATTCTTTTGTCACATTACGTCTCTGAGATCCAGCATATGTTTTCCACTGACAGAACCTCTCAGTTTGGACCGGCCACCTGTCAAGTACTCAGGAGCCACATGACCTGTGGCTCCTATTCAAACAAGACAGCTCTAGATCATCAGGGGTCAGCTGGTGGCCCAGCTCCTGTTCAATGTGATGACCTTGGCTTTGCTTTAGAACACACAGGACAAGAAGGCGCATCCCTCCAGCGACGGGACTCAGAACGGTGGCGATTACACAGGATAAAGTACCTGTTCATGTTACTACGATACATGTATAAAGACATTCGGATCAGCCAAAGAAGCTGGATACAAAAGGACAACTATTCTAGGACTCTATTTATATGTAATGTCCAGAAGAGGCAAACCCATGGAGACAAAGTAGGTGAGCAGCCGCTGGGGGCCGGGACAGGGGGAATGGGGAGCGACCCCTTCATGAACATGGAGTCTCTTACTGGGTGATGAAAATGTTCTAAGGCCGACTGTGGGGATGGCTGCATGACTGAATAGAGTAAAACCCACTGAAGCATTAACTTTAACACAGAAAATTGTGTGATATGTGAATTCTATCTCAGTAAAACTGTTACCAAAAAAATAAATAAATAATGGTATTTCTCTGAAGGAATTTTTTTATGGACACGGTAATATATGTAACTGTTGCATTTCCCTTTTTGCATTGACAGCTGGGAAGCTCAAAGCATTCAGGGTCCAACAGGACATTTTGTTTATTCACTTTACGCTAAGTTCACTCTGGTTTTTTCTACCCTTACTTCCCCTTTGCCCCCAGTTTCCTTCCTTCTGTCTTCAGAAGGTGGTTATAATGCAAGTTTTTTTCTCAGCTGCTCTAAAGCCCTTTTGGCAGAAGGCCAAGTGTATAGTTATAAATAGACCTGCAAACAACTCATAGTTACTTGGACTGTTTGGTGAAAATATAAAGGCCCTTTGAGAAGGGACTGAGAATGGATGTCTGTAATGAATTAATTAAGAAAGTGGGGTGATTTATCCTGAAGAGGAACAGGTAGAGTGGAGGTTCTGTTATCCTTTCAGAATCCTTGGAAGGGCTGAGAGTCTCCCCTGGCGGGGGACCCAGGAGATACTTTCAAGCACAGCTGGAGAGAGTCTGATGAGACACGGTGCCAACAGAGGGAGTGAAACCCAGCGCTGAGTGACAAGGAGGAGGCTCTAGACCGAATGGTCTCTAAACCAGGGCAGAGGCTCACGTCTTCGAGATGGCCAAGTTACCTCCAGCAGGGGAGGAACAAGGGAGCCTTGTGGAGAGCTTCTTACTCAAGCAGGCAGAGGCTCTGCTTTCTCCAGGTGAGTTGTGTCTCCCCGGAGCAAAGCTGGGCTTCCCCTCACCTTGGCCATGAACCGGCTGGCCTGAGCGGCCAACTCCTGGGTCCGCTCTGCTGATGGCTGGTCCTGGGTGATGCCTGGGTTCTCCAGAAGCCACGCTGGGGCAGACGAGGAGGGGTTCAGGTCTCCTTGAGCTGACGGCCACCCTAGAATGCACAACCACTCAATGCTGGGGCCAAGAACTGTCCTTCCTGGGGTGAGGGACTCAGCGAACCTCAGAACCACACCCGCCATCATCAAGCTACAACTGTCATATTGCAATCACGCTGTCCTCACATGGGCCCCAGGATGCGGGATGGGCGGTGTAGTCCCAGGTACAGGGGAGAACAAGGTCTGGCTCTGCCCTAGAACGCACAGCTGGGGCCAAGACAGGCCTCTGGTTTCCCGGTCAGTGGATCAGGCTCTAACTCAGAAAGACTCGGGTTCAAATCCCCACCCTCTCCCTTCCCCTATAGCAGTGTGACCTTCAGCATGTCCTCGCCTCTCTGAGCCTTGGTTTCCTTGACTCTCAGTGGGACTGATGGGGAGATTAACTGGGATCATGCATGGCAAGCCTTGGCGCAGAGCCTGGCCCCGTGGGGGCTCCATAGTGACAGCGCTCTCTGTTCTGCAATGGGCCCAAGATCACCCAACTGCCAAGTGCAGAGTTGGGCTTTTCCCAGGCTGCTCTGGCTCCAGGCAAGATGCTTTCCACATCTCCATTTGCCCTCTTCAGCTCAAAGGTCCCAGAGAACTCGTCTCCCTCCCTCCCCTGGTCTGAAGCCAGTGTCACTCCAAGAAGAACCAAGTGCCCCCAGAGCAGAATCACAGGCAGAAGGCCCTCCAGTCCCATTTCCTCTCACAGGCTCACCTGAGGTCCCAGAGGTCTGTGGGGCTTCGGCAGGGCCCGACCACCGCAGCACAGAGTGGGGCTGTGGGATGCTGAAGGACAAAACCTTGGTCCCCTGGGGCGCTGTCCCTGTGTGCATGCTGTGGCTGGGCTGGGGCTGGTCCGAGTACAGGTTCACCTGTCCGGGAGGGGAGGCATGAGCAGAGCCAAGTCAGGGATGGGGCAAGCCTCCCAACAGGCCTCCCCTTCATTCACACCATCACTTAGGCCCTCAACAAACATGCCTTGTAATAATAAATACTACCATTAGTGGAGCCCTTGGGTGGGGGCCAAACACTGGGTCAAGGACTTACAGGCCCTTTCATCCTCTCTTTATGGCAGCTCTGAAGGGGAGGCAAGGCAGGGACTATCATCCCCATTTCACAGAAGAGGAAACTGAGACTCTGGTTAAGTCACTCACTCAAAATCTCCAGCTATAAATCCTTGGGCTCAGATTGTAACCTGCTGTGACCCTAAAGACTATGGTTTTCCATATAATCATTTTTAATATTTGTTATAATAATTCACAGTGTAACCACAATTATAATTAATATGGTATTTAACATACAGCAAATATAAATATAGTTATATACTATTTGTTATTAATAAAAGTATTTCAATCATAATTATCACATTGATAATAATAACAGCAATTGATGGCTGTTTGAATGAGTGCGTAAACCAACAAGTGAACAAACTAATCACTCAGCTATAGCAGGTCTCCATCCCTTGAGGGTGGATTTCAAATGGTAACCAGCCCAGTCTGGAATCAGGCCGATGGCCAAGGAAGACCATGTGAAGCACAAGATTAGAGGAGACCCATGTAGGGATGGTGGTCCAGTGCAGGGGTTGGCCAACTAGGGTCTGTTTTTGTGAATACTGTTCTAGTGGACACAGCTATGCTTGCTTATGTATTATCTATGGTCTTTCATGCTACCATGGCGGTGCTGAGTCATTACCACAGAGGCTGTATGGCCCACAGAGCTAAAAATATTCACCAGTGGCCTTTACCACTGGCCACTTCTGAGTCCTAGAACAGGTGATTTAACTAAGTTCTCTGTGCACAAAATGAGTTCTCAATAAACAGAAGCCACCATCCTCATATTCATCATCATCATTATTACTGTTGTTACCATCGTTACACATCACAATTCCCAACATCACCATCACTATCATCATCACCATCACTATCACCAGCGCCATCATCATCCCCATCATCATCACTATCACCATCATCA